AATTTCCTCAAATTCACAAGGATACATATCATATTTTCAATGCAAGGATTTTTCATTTCGAGGCACGTTAAAATAGGCTCAGACTTACCCCCCTTAAATCATGCAGGGTATTATAAAAGACGGGATATCTAGCCAATGTGCTAAATTTCCTTAAATGTTGACAATTGTTTCAGATTAATATTCGTAGAATATAACTTGGAGCCGAGGTGGGCCAGACTGTCCCGGTGTTGGCAAAGAAAGTTCCCCGGGATATTCCGGCGTGGTTTCCCGTTGTGCAACACAAAGGGCACCAAAAGGAACATGTGTACGTAAAAAGAACCCCTGACATTTGGAATTCGAAATAAGGATAGGCCCCAGTGCCACTGTCAGGGCAAAATCTTCCGCGTAGCATCCTCTGAATCATTTTTATCATCCTATGTCCATATATCCATATTCTGGTTTTTAAAATTTTTATATCAATGTGAAATTGAGGAGCTTACCTGTTACCTCAGATCATTCTAGACGTTAAAACAGACAAATTTAGTTTAAAGCGCTAAGCAAATCACATCAAACGAGCACAATGGTAATAATAATGGATATATATTTCTAATGTCTGAAGTGTTTTCTGCACTCAATAATTTACAACAGTCATGCGACACGGACCGACGCACAGATTCTCTTTTAGCTGTATCTATCCAAGTCTCCAAAGTGATTAAACACAGATCATATTTGGTTTCGTTTTTTATAGTTCAAAAGTTTGTTTTACTTGTCTTTACTGCACTAGGATCTGAAAGAGTTCTTATATTACCGGTGTTTTGGTTGAAGTGAGCGATTAGTCAATGAAACTGTCTGTTCGTGTGACTTCTTGCCGTGCCATGCACGGAACTGTGGGTAAACCACTAGAACGTCAGTGCTAATAGATTAATCAATGTCTGATGTCATAGGGCCAAAAGCCGTTCGTACATTCTCTGCCACAGCCTTCCAGTACTACTTGTCAGATCTTCATGTAGTGTAGGCCATCGGAAGTATATAAAAAAACGAAACGAAATATAGATCTGTATTTTAATCAAATTGCCAAGTCTCGCACATGTCATCAACCCTCTCAATACTATAATAATACTAATGGTGATAAATCAGTATTTATACAATTCCTATTTGAGATTTATTATGGGGTTTGCTGTTTTGGGCCCTGGTTCATCAGAGCCACTTGCACTGTGGTAAATATGGTACTGGAAAAGAACCATGCAGACCAAGCACCAGCTTATTTTGGTCTGTGGACAATCCATGACTGTGTTTACCTCACATTTAAAGAAGACCAGTTGGTCTTGACAAAAATTTAATAAATTCCGTGGATCACGGATTGTTCTGCACGGATAAATTCGTTTTATTTTCTGCGATGATTATCTCTGTAACGTGTTGTATCAAAATCCCAGTTCTTTGATTCTTATCTTTTATATTTCGAATACATGCGTACCTGACCGAAAAAGATATCGGTGCACGATTTAATTTCATTTAAAGCGAGTTTGATGCACACAATTATTATTAACTCCTCTGTTAATAATAAGGGCTGAACATCTGGACATTCAAATAAAAACCAAATAGGTTAGACCTTATGGAATCAATATAAGATAATGTTATTTTTAGATTGCATATTTTAATCATTTTGAACCAATTTACAAACCTTTCAGTTAGTATAGTTTTGAATATCATTTTTAAGTCGTCATTTATTAAGTGAGGAAGCAGAAGTCTGTGGATATCAATAGAAAACCACGGTTCGAAAATGATTAACCAACTTTTCTAGACAGATCTAGAAAATAACACATCGATATGACAGTTAGAACCCGAAAGGTTCCAAGTGTTGTAGCTATCATACATAATATATGTATTTTACCTGACTTTGTGTTACTGCACTAGCGAATTGGGCTGGTTGCACAAAACTTAGTTATTTTAACGATCCGTGACGTAATCGTTCCGTTGAAGGATAACCCAACAATGACCTTTGTCGCTTTTGATTCAATTGAATTATATGACCGAGAAGAAATTACGATCGGTCTTTTCAATGAACTATAAGTAAGTGCAGTAGAACCACACTACACGCAAAACAAACCTGCAGCCAAGAAATAAACAACATATCGATTCAAGTGAATGGATCAATGAAGCCATTCGTAAGCGTCCATTGTGCTATACAGTCCCGGGCCTATAATGATACAAAAAATTATTAAATTATTAATTTACAAGAAAGACGTAATGCGACGGTGGCCGTCTTCTGAATGGCGATATTCTACCAGTTGACGTCATGAGTGAGAACGTCAACAATTCTTTTGACAATAATAAGGGCGATAATCCGTATAGAATTTTGGAAAACGTTAAATATTATTAAATAAAGTGCAGTGAGCAAACAGGAGCAAACCCCAACAGCGAGAACATTCTACAGTTCGAAGGGTTAATATTATACTCTAAATTTATTAGGTGCTGGAGAACCGCACTACACGCAAAACAAAACCGACCAGACAAATCTGCGGAAAAGACAAACTACACATACATTGCAAGAAATAAACAACAAATATCAATTTAAGTGAATGGACCCGGGAGGCCAGTTTTAAGGATCGTCTGCGATATACGATCCCGGGCCTGTAATAATGGACGTTTCACTCAAAATGTAAAAAAAAAAAAGAAATATTATATTGATTTACAAGAAAGACGTAATGCGACCGTTCTTGGCGGTAGTCGTCTTCTGAATGGCGATAGTCTGTCAGTTGACGTCATGAGTGAGAATGGCAACAAATTTAACAATAATAATTGCGATAATCCGGATAGGATTTTGGAAAATGCTAGAAATTAATAAATAATTGGTTGTGAGCGGTAGTGATTACTAACGTAAACATTGCATATCTGGTATAGTCTTTAAAGATCACGATATATTTGTCATGTACATTGTAAAATAGCTTGTATATCGCTTTTCCACCCAAATGCGTCACAAATTCGTTCACAAGAGTTGATTATAATGTATAGCTTTACACAGTTATTATTTTTCAATGAAGATAGCAAATGACAGTTTAAATGGAAGTCGCGTTATTCATTCGAGCTGCATGCTTTTCAATATTACTAATTTATCTGATATTTTACATGGGGCGAATTCTTTTCGTGATAACTGGACTATCAATCTGGTTAAAACAGAGATCCTATTTCGTTTGGTTTTTTTAAAGTTCAAAATTTTGTTTTTCTTGGCTTTGCAACACTAGGATCTTGAAGAGTTGTTAAATAACCCGCGTTCTGGTTGATTTTGGGGTTTAGCCAATGAAACTGTCTGTTGCAGCGATGCACGGAACTGTGGGTATCCTACCAGGAACATCACGGCTGATTAGTTAATAAAATGTCTGACGTCTTAGGGTTAAAAGCCGCTCTTATGACCCCTGGTGCGACCTCTCATTACAACTGGCCAGATCTTCATGTAGTAGAGGCCATCGTAAGTGTTAAAAAACTAAACGAAATATAGATCTTTGTTTTAATCAGATTGCTGGACTATAGGTCTTTGTTTTAATCAGATTGCTGGACTATAGGTCTTTTTTCGCGTGTAGTCCCATGATCCCATAGCCATCAACAAAAGTATGGAGGCTCGATGTTGAGGCAATGAAAATATGTTTTTCAAAGGTTTTGTTATCCTTTACGTGAACGGCCTTTGTTGTTCTATTAGCGCAAAACATTTACAGTTACTATCTCGAAAAAAATCCTAATGTTTTTCCCAAAACGATTTGGGGGTTACAGGATGGACTGACTTGAGACGAAATGAGTTACTTTGAGGATACAATCATTTTATTGGCAAAGTTAACAGTTGAAAAACTATACGAATACAAAAATAGGGGCTGTGCGGTATGTGTTAAAAATACACATAAGTAGTAAACACATAGCAGTGGTTATAACGTCAATTTTAAACACACTCCCAAATAAAGCGTCCCACACTACCATTAATTACTGGACTAAAAAAATAACTATTCTTGAATATTCCAATATTACTTTCCAATCTATTAATCCGTAAATATCACCATTGACAAATACGTATATATTATACATGTAACAGAAGCATTATTCGATTTAGTTTATCAGTTTTCAAAAGATAGTGTCTTTTTATGCTGTGGTTTTCAAAATCATATCATGTGTTTTGTATGAATTTGGTAGTTTTTCAATCAGTATTTTTAAGATTATGACATACAGTATTCGAAACCATTGATACTAACTTATGCTAGCGACATACAGGTGTTTTATATCCTCTTTAATATGAACCACATGAGGAATAACCTTTGTAGCTGGCTACACGGTAAATGGGTTGTGCTAAAACAGGTGGGAAGGTTAGAGTTGAAGCTAGAGATATGTGAATATAAAAGATATAAAACACCTGGATATGGACCCAGACTTGCACTTGCTTCCCCGGATCCTCTATTTATAGCGAACTTTTACCCCTTCCCATCTTTCACACGGCAATTTGTGTTGACTTTTTTTTTTATCTAGATGTAAACAAAAAGTAAAAAGACATAAATTAGCAAAATCGACTACTAAATTGGCGGTACTACCTACAGAGTTCCTTGACCAGGTCTAGGAGAACTGTACAGGTCATCCCCTAATATTTTATCAGATGATTGTGCCATATTAGACTGTTCGTGGTAATCGAGAATAAAATTATTGGTATGTTAAAAAATAATGTTATGGGCACGGGGATAATTACTAGTCTGATCCATTTAGAAAAATCATGAGTTGTCCCCCTTTTCAAGCTGGCTCGGCATATCTTTTAGAAAAGGGATTTAGCTCCGTTAAGAATGACAACCCAATGCAGTTTCATGGGAAAATGCTTTTGTCAACAAATCAAACGTACATCCACAATTTGATGAGAATTCGGTACTTTCAATAAAATGACAAGTTTCGCTCTTTAATCTTATTATTATATAAATGTCAACTTTATTTAGGTTCATTTGGTTATTTTGGTGCCTTTTGATTGTCACATAAAAACAACTGACTGTCAAACTCCGGAAGGCTTGATAATTTATTTCATCGTCTAAACTTTGACAAAAACATAATTTCTATTTTCATTGTAAAAAAAAATATTATGAAATGTTAGATTAAAACACCAAATGCATTGAAATCAAATAAAACTATTAAAAGGTCCAACACCCGAGTTACATCGTTACAATATCTATGTACGGAAAGTTAAGTTTGAAAGACTCGAGATTTATTTAACATAAAATATATCATCAACAAGGAAATCTGTAGGATGGACAAAAGCCTCAATACCCTTATGTCTTAATCTCCAACATTCGCCGTGTTTCTTTTGTACTGGATCCGACCTGTTGACTAGTGTTGCTACTGCTGCGGCTAACATAGATTTATCTTTTTTCAACTCCAGTAGTCCAACCAATGTATCTGCTTCCGTCACTTTTATACGCCGAAGGCTCATACTTCTGTTGTGGAACTGACCTTAAAATTGATGGGAAAAACTAAAATCATGAAAATATTTGTTAAAGTAAAATACCAAGCTTCCTAAATAAAAATTCGACGACGTACTTTTTCTTTAAGGGAAAAGGGTTTAAGATGATACGGTTAATAACTTCCATTTCGAAGTTAATTACGCTGTTTTATCAGATCTAAGTTAAATAACCATGTTAAAAATGGGTGTCAGTTGACTTTCATTTGCTATCACATCAGCATTTAAACCAAAAATATCGGCTATTGAATGCAAGGGTTCGATCTCGGTGTTAAAAATAGACTTGTGGAAGATGAGCTGACTATATAGTTTAACTGAACGCCTGAAACTAATCAGGAATTTGGACTCAGATTAATCCAATGGTCTTAAAGCAAACTGGCCATGCTTTGGCAGACTGAAGCCTAGGTCAGTGCCACGAGATTTATTGACCCAACAGCTACAGCCTCTCTTCATATAAATCCGACCCAGTCTGTCACACATTGGGGTCTAAATGGGTTCAGAGGATACCAATTAAATTGTACATTATACAAATTCTACATAATTGATCTATTGTGAACCGTATTTAAACATAATTTAAACATAATTTACCTATGATACCAGTAGACGAAGACGAGGCGTGACCTTCATGACGTATTTCTACATTAATGTAATCGTCACCAATTCGTGTATGTTCATTATGTGTCCTCCGCAGAACCTCCACTTCTATTCCTTTATCAAACATGAATCTTACTAGTTCCTTTCGCGGATCTATAATTAGCCAAGCGCGTTTTACACGTATTTCTAACTTTGTTTTCCATTGGTAGTCCGCATCATGTGAATGGATGACGTCATGTGTAATAAAGAACTTTTGGTCATCTATAATTATAGCGGTTTCCTTGATGTAAACTCTTTTAGTTCCACGTGTTGTTAATTTCACACCGCTTTTAAGTTTAACATTTACTGTTATACCTGTACAGAAAAAAGAGGATCATAAATAACTGTAAACTCATTTGTCAGCTAAATCCCTAACTCAATATTTCCCATAATATTCAAAATTAAAAACACGAATTAGAATTCAATATTGGTCTATGTTGATGTTGTTATCTTGTCGTGAAAATATAGGATTCTAATATCCAATATTTAAGACGCAATTAACATTTTATAATCTGTATACGAATCGTGTATTCAACGGTTTCGGGTACCATTTTGTAATAAACCAATAAAAACACCCTACAAGACAATATGGAAGTAATTAATTAAGGCTGATTCATAAACGACAAAATACTAATGGACTATGCAGGCGTAAACGACCGCGGTTCAATTTGTACTGTTTAAGTATTTTACCGAACATGTTTCAAAAATTGAATATAAATCACATTACCGAACGTTTTTCAAAAATTGAATATAAATCACTTTACATACATTCATATTACATTAATATGTGCTTTTAGATCCATTTTCGTCTATTTCAAGGTTAAAACAATAGAGCCATACACCCTTTAATGTAATGTGTTTCAGTGTTTCGTTATCGTAGTTCTATATTTGAGTTTACTTTCAAAGAGGTAGGCTACTTTAGAGTTTTGTTCGCAAACAAAGTTAAATTTTAAAGTTAAGCTGACTTAGCTTCTATTTAGTGGGTCTTGCTGTTGATATATTTGAATATGATATTTTATTTTTCAACTAATAATATGAACCGAAGACATCTGATGGAAATACAAAAACACAAAGAGAAATCTTCAAACGGACGACATGAATTGTATAATGAATTCTAGGATTACTCTTTAGTAACCCAACTAACCTGAAAATGGATCGTGGAAGAGTGTATATATTTCATCTTTATTACCAATGTCAAAACAAAATGGAAAATCTAAACCATTGATGCCAATCATAAAATGTGGGTCACCTCCTCCTGTAATTAAAAACCCCAGAAAAGAACTTTAATAAAATCTTTGCACATTAGCCACAATCGAGACTAGATTTTCAGAACTATTACAGACTTAATGGAACAATTCAATCAGTTTTATACGTAACTGAAAACATCTTCTTTCTATCCTAATGAACTATCACTGCGTGTTCATAGTTTTCTATCATTTTGAGGGACCTTGTTTCGGGTTAAGGCGGAGCTCCTATGTTCTTTGGGTTATATGCCAGATTCTTATTAAAATTAATAAATTTGTAAAGCCTTAGTATAATTCTTTTTTTTAAATTGAAATTGCTGTGATGATTCCTAATATCGGCATTTTATAATAAATGATCACCTGCCCCGGTCTCACTTACCTCCTCCCCATCCACCTCCACCTCCTCCTCCCCAATATCTTGGGGGTGGGGGTGGCCGAGTAGGGCGTGGCTTTGGAGCTGAAAGAAAGATAACACCATGTAACAAACATTACATATAGACTTATGTATTATTTCCAAGAGAAGCGTTTGTGTCAGTTGATCTACACAATTTATTTCGAGGTTAAAGATTGGAATGAAAACTAACTTACTTGGAGCAGGGGTTCGAGCCTGGAGTTCGTTCATATCCTCTTCATAGGCTTTCCACGCACCATCTAAGTTGGAACCAACCACCATTGATGTTACCGGTGTAACAAAACCGTACTACATATACAATAAGAAAAGAAATATAGTGGAATCTGTCACTTCTGACATCGTATGGGATCATTAAAATATGCCGGATTACACAGCATGACGGAATACTCAATACGGGAAGTATTAATACGTTTGGTGGTTGAGCTGTTCTAACCAACCCGAATAAATAACACCTGATCAAACTATCAACTCATAACATAAAGCCGGTATTGGACTTGTCACATGTGTGTGCATTTTACAAAGATTACAATAGGCTTAGTATCCGGTCATTATAAATGCGTAGCCATTGATCATATATTGGAAACTAGAAACTAACCAGATGATAAAATATGAAATAGCTTACTTTCTGGGCTAACATCCTAACTCGATCATAGTTCATATTCCTCTCAGAAGCTGACTCTTCAGCTACAGCCGCCTTTAAATTTTCTTTTATGAATAGAAAAGCCCACATTCTTTCTATGATATTACCCAGAGAAGCGACAGATGTAAGATCAACAGGACTGTTCATAGTTGAATGTGGGGAATCGGACTGTAATGTAAAGTCAACTGGGCCATTAATCGAATTGGCACGGATATCAAGAACTGTTCCTGTATCATCAATCTGACCAGCAAACACCAATTCCGTTCCGGATATGTAATCATCGTTGAGATTCTGTGTAATAGTGTTATTGATACTACCATTTATGGACTTGATGGTAATGTCCTGGAGGAGGGCAGATGAAACTTCTTTATAGAATCCTGACATTTGGGAAGATGCTCTAGAATCTTCGAAAATGCGTCGAGCTAGTCCACCGCTATTGTATGACAATCTGTACATAAAATTCCAATCAGATTCTGAAATACAAAGGGAAAACCAAATTTCTGTCGTTGCAACTTTATTTTCAAAATTATGTTTTGGAACGGGGCGGTGAGAGGGGAATCTCAAACAATTTTCCCTGTAGATTGTTTGCAATGCTTTTGTGTTTATGGCAATGACTATACGTAACATTAAAAGATTAAGTATAATTGCTTCCTCTTAGGTAGGTAACCCGACAATTATTGTTTTTCGTATATATATTTAATAATAATTTCCTCTTTATTTCTTATGTGTCTAATTTGTCCACTGAGCTTTCTTTTTGACCACTTGCACTGGATATGCATTGGAGAAATACTAACTTGTGATTGGGCTGACACTATAAGATGTACGGTGACTTATGTTTAGTTTTACCTGCGCCGACAGCCATGCTATAAATAGGTATCTTGTCTTTGTTGACTTTATCAACTTCCTTAAGTATGTCCTTAGGACTGGTAATGTGTGCTTGAGCTATTCCATCAGAAATAAAAAATATCATCGGTACTCCCTCGCCTCTTTGCTTTTTGAGATAGTGTATGGCGTGTGGAATAATCTTTGCTAAATCGGTATCTGAAAATGAAATGGACAGAAGATAAGTGGGTTTTTCTGATACTAATATCTGTTATTATTTTGTATGCAATGTCCAAACAGCAAGGATTTTTTTTTATTGTACTGTCAAAGTACACAATCTGATTAAAACACAGATCCTATTTCGTTTCGTTTTTTATAGTTTAAAATTTCGTTTTACTTGTCTTTACTACACCATAAGGATCTGAAAGAGTTGTTGTATAACCCGCGTTCTGGATGATGTGGGGATATTAGCCAATGAAACGGCCTGTTACGGCGAGTTTTTGGCGTGAGGCGCTCGGAGCTATGGGTAACCCATCAGAAACATCAACGTTGATTGATTTATCAAATGTCTGACGTCATAAGGTAAAAACCACTACAACCGGTCTTCATGTAGTAGAGGCCATCGAAAGTATAAAAAAACGAAACGAAATAATAGATCTATATTTTAATCAGATTGAATGTGTCGCTAGTTGACATCCGCATAAATAATCTTATTTTCAGACATGCGCTCCTGCTCACGCGTGAATTATGTCTGGCCATCCGCATTTCAAATTAAATATTTTAAGGTTAAAGATCAAAGAAATCTCAGAGTACTTTTGTGCAAAAAAAGATATTATGGTGGCGTGGGACTGGGGATGTTGGCCTAGTTTCTGACTTTTTAAAGTCTCAATGGCAGTGTGTAAGATATAAATTGCTACTTACAACCTCCCGTTCTAAGGTTTCTGACGTAATTCTGGGCTTTTGAAATAACACCCTTTGTCGCTTGTTGTAAGTTTGTACTCCATGTTTTTGTTGAGCTCTGTAAAGTCATCATGTTGAAATGATCTTTTTCATTAAGTTGACCAATAATCAACCTCATGGCATCTTTTAGTTGACCTAGTTTGTAATCACTCATAGAAGCACTGATGTCTAACAGAAATAGAATATCTCGTGGGAACTCTTCTTCTATCATCGGTGCAAAGAAATGGATGAAATATCCGTCCAACACCTGGAATAAAACAAACATTTTACTTAACCAATTAAATATTAATGTAAAGATATAATAAGATGAAATGAAATGGAGTTTAAAAGAGGTAAATCGCTAATATTTGGGACCTAGAAATTGACGCAAATGGGTCGCAACGCATATAATAATGTAATATGCATCTATATAAACTGATTTACATTCAATCGTTTCTGTTTTTACTGTAATTTATAATCAGTTAGGTTCGGCGAAATACGCCAGAAGTCTCAATCGAATGGCAATCTCTAGCGTTTGGTTATTCCAGTCTACTTTAAAGTCCTACTGTTCTGCACCAACCTGGATAATGTAGACAACCTGGATATTAATGAAGACAACAAATTTTGCCCATAAAACTACTTTTGTAGTAAATTGGTCGATGCTTTGATGAAAATAGTAATGACATAAAGAGTCATAAAATTATTGGATCCTTATCTGTAAAATGGATTTTAAAACTTACGTAAGCTTCGCCACCTGAAAAATCACGTTCAACATCGTAATGGACGACAAATTTGCCAGCGACGCCATTTTCGCCTTGTTGTGTGGTACTTGGAGTAAAGTTGATAAGAGCACTTTTAGAAGTTGGTCGGTCTATCGTAGTCAATTGATTCTTTCCTAGAATTAGTAAAATACACAAAATTTCAATAAATGGTTAAAGGAGAGGGTGAACATTAAATTAGGATCTGTAATGTAATGAGTAACATGATCCCATTCCCAGGTCTATCCTTAACTAAAAGAGAGAGAGAGAGAGAGAGAGAGAGAGAGTGTGTGTGTGGGGGGGGGGGGTAACGTCCACTCGACATAAACTGACTTTAGGGGTCTTTAGCAGTGGAAGAAAACAGTGGGTCCCCGAGAAAACCAACGATTTTGGACAGACGACACAACTCTTTGTCACTTACAACCGGGGAATCGAAACCACGCCAGATGACTCAATGACATCCTTAAATAAAGTAGTATAAATATACCGTACCTCGGAGAAACTATCCGCCGTCTTTTTAAAATTAAAGAAAGTAACGTACTCCCATAATACGTTCATTTTCAATTGTAATACGCTAGAGGTTCTCGTCAGTTTATTTATCTCTCTGTTTCCGGAAGCAAAATTACCTTTGGTTTCAATGCTCATTACATCATTGGTGATTGGTGGAATGGACACATACTTTAAATCTCGGACCTCCTGAATGGATACTTTCACTTGAAGGTCGCGAACCGGCTGTCGAGGATTTATGTAAATTTCATGCTCGTAGCTGCCAAGGCGTCGTTCTAGAACCTCTTGGTACGTCAGATTAAAAGTGACTTTGGACTCAGGAGCAACTGCAACCGCTACTTTAAACTTATTGAATTCATTTGGTCTGAAATATGTACGTGGAAATGAAATGAAATGGGGTTTAACGTTCTGAGGCCAGTTAACTAAGATAAAATCCAAATTTTAGTGATTTGATTGGATAATATTATATTGATTTTAGTGCCTAACCAATCAAATTTGATGTATCTACTAAAATTTGGATTTTATCTTTAGTTGAAATTTGGATTTTATCTTTAGTTAAAATTTTGAGAAACAGGGCCCTGCTGTTTAGCTCCGACTGGGATAATGAACACGGGTATACGCCATGCAGTGTTCTGTTAGGGAAATGTTGCCCGGACAGCGGCGCTACGACTTCCTCTTATATTGAATTTCAATGTGTATTGGGGACCTCGGTTTTTCGTCCCATCCGAACGACTAGACAGCTATCCTTGTCAGATCCGCCGTCCTGCACCACTGACAAGGAAACACGACACCAGAGCTGATTTTTCAACAACGTTAATTGATATCAATCATTTGCGATTCAAACTTACTAAATTTGTATTTCATTACCTTTTTATTATTATTATTAATTCTCTGTTCGGTTTGAAGTTTAATTTTAGCTACTGCGATTGATTAAAATCATTGTTGATCAATTCAAAATAATAACTTACTTAACCGAAATATGTCCAGCAGTTTTTCCTTCTTCTATGTGTCTATCATATTCCTTTTGTGCAGATTTTCTGTCCTTAACTTTACCATAGTAGATATTTCCACCAATATCCCTAATTTAAATTGACAGAATTTAATCAGGTGGGTTCTTGCTATTTATTTCAAATGTCTTTAAATATTATCATTTACGGGAAGTAAACGGTAGGATAATGCAAGGTAAGAGTGTTCTAAAATCTGAAATGTAAGTCCATGTGCTCGACCTAGAATCCAATGAAAGATTTTAAGATTAATAGATAATATTAGTACAAAGTATCCTGAACCGTATGTCGTGTTTGTCGGGAGAGTGCCGTTGGTTGTATATCAACTGTTTGGAACTGATGATAATCGATTTTCATGGGATTGCAACAATAATTTATCGGTTCTACTATTGTACGAGGAGAAGAATTTCCTAGACATGATCTACCGGGGTAACGGTGCGGGGGGGGGGGGGGTGTCATTGGTGAGTGGTCTAGGTTGCGCCGTTTCAATTCTTGCCAGAAGAGTTGATTATGTTAAGCTCCGATGAAGAGTTTATTATTAAAGAACACTGAAGACCATCTTACTGTTTCCGCTACACCATATATCATCCCCGTTTTAACTGCTTATATATAAATGTGTACATATTAAATTCTTTAAATTTATAATATATTTTTTTGTTTGTCACAAGTCTTCTCAACTTACATAGTAAAATTAGATATAAAAGCTGAACTTGGTATATCCACATCAAAAACAGTTTCTCGTGTCGTATTAGCAGGATTGGCTATTCTACTAGTTATCAAGGTAGTCGCAAAGCGAAACTTAATGTCCGACAAAATGTGTAGTGAATAAATTGTAGGACCCTGAAAATAAAACACCACCCAACTTAATAATATAACCAACAACCGACATTGTATTTGATAAACTCTATTCAATATGATTTTTGCAGGTATCATGTTTGTCTTCTACAATCTTTATGCATATCACAATTATGGTAATTACATTCATATATTGTTGGATTACAATCATGTATCAACGGATTACACTCAAGGATTGGTGGATTATAATCATGCACTGACGGATTACAACCATACACAGATGGATTGCAAATTGTTTTATCATATGCAGATTACAATAGTGTACAGGAGGAATACAATTGTATATAAGCGAATTACACTCATGAAAAGCCGGATTACAGTCGTCGATTAAATACAATCTTAGACAAATTTAGTCTTATAAAGATCTCAAATTGTTAATCGCCCAGACATTGTAATCCTGTATATTTACTGTGAACAGATTTAGAATTGCAATAGAAAGATTACAATTATGTATGACACATGTTATAGATCATTTACAAACATATACACGAATCTAATCATTTTCAAGTGGTTCCCCCTTGTTAGTGATGCAGGACGGAGGGCCTGGGCAGGACAGCTGTCTAGTCGTTCGGATTGAACGAAAAATCGAGGTCCCATGTACACGTTGGCGTACACGTAAAAGATCCCTTGACAGTTGTTATTCGATATGTGAGTAGGCCGTAGTGCCGCTGTCCAGGCAAAATTTCCCTCATAACCCACTGCATGGCGTATACCCGTCTTCGTTAGCCCAGTTTGGAGCATAACAGTAGGACGTTAAACCCCACTTCATTTCATTTCATTTATAATCATGTTCACCTTAGACAGATTACAATCGTATCCACCATAGACTGATTACATATTTGATCATTAAGGACAGATTGTGAACTTATATATACAAACATTTTAAATACATACCTCATCGCCAGTGCCATTGTCTTGTGCTTCCCCAGAAAGAATAGAAATAAACAATAACGCAGAAAAGTAGACAATTTTCAATCGCGCCATTTTTCTTCTAATCAGATTCTAGAAGTTAACATTTGCAGATATGATACGTCTGCAACAATGACATGTTGATGTGTCTGTCTCTCTGTGTAAGTGTCTAAATTTTAGTGAAATTGATGACCTTGGGATGGCTGACTACCGTTTCTGTTTCCGGTTATTAAATTGATGTAACATCACATTAATGAGTCGACTCCGCTGTACTTATATTTGATACTTTGATGATGTTATAGATATACTCCCACGATGTTCGTCCAATAATCTTATTTTATGTCTTTGTAAGAAACACTTTCACCTGGAATTTGCGTTTAATTTCATAGTAACTGCTTTGGGCATTTATCTAATCGTTTTACAATTTGTACTAAAGAGTTACATCCTCACAGCCCAACTGTTGCGATAAACCCAGCCCTATCGACAAGGAAATGCTGGTTTTCTCAAAAGAAAAGCTTTTAACATGGAGTTGACCGGTTTAGGATATCAATTTTTTGTAATCAAATGATTGACAAAATGGTTAGACCACTTACATGTATCGTAATTTTGAACTACATTTTATAAGAAAAATATCAAAAGTGAATTCGAAATAAGAATAGGCCCTGATAACACACTACATTGCGTATTCCCGCCTCTATACCAACTGGCAATGGTTCTTTGACGTGCATGTCATTAGGTACACTGGACCTTAGTTTTGTGATTATAAATACTTGAAGTGACTGAAAGAGCTTTATTGTAGTCATCTCACATAGGATATCCGAACCAGACACTGCCACAGTGCAACTGGCGATGTAGTATAGTTTCAAGTGGTGTACTTTTATCAAGTACGTTACTTGACGAGATGTTACATATAAATATGTCCTTAATTCGGGTTGAATGATAACACTAAATTTCTTTCACTTGTTTGTTTAAACATATTTTATTGCACCAACAAAAATAATTTTGGATACAATTGGACTGGACAAAAGTTATTAAATACTTACAAACGTCCTTTCCATAAACATAAATTGTATAAATATAATAATGCCATTTATTAATTGAAGAATTATAATATGTAACAATAAATCCAAAATACATATTAATGATTAACAGATAAATAAACAAACAAACAATACTGAAACAAGGTGCAAGTGACCACAGCTTACATACATTTAAAACGTTTAGTTCAGGAGTGTCAAATATACGGCCTGCCAGGAAATTAAATGTGGCCCGTGGAAAAAGTTTCAACAAACTGACGTGTAGATAATCATTTATTATTGTTTTCCCGTTTCTGTACAATTCTGACTTCTGTATTGTATGTCATAGATGTCTAGCTATGTTGTATGATAATGTTGTGTTCAATATAATATCTTGGCAATTTGGAAACCAGTTTTAAAAAATTACCTGTGTCAAGCACGTTTTGCTTTGTTTTTAAAAATCAGTAAAGTTCAAGGATGTTTGGCTTTGTCTTGATATTTTTGTATATCTCCGGCCCACTTGATGTAAAATTCTAGTTCATGAAAAAATTGTCCATTTTTTAGTAAGCCAGTGTGATTCGCACTATGAAATGCTTTGGAGCATGATTTTTCGCCATTTTCTAATATCTGCAATTTATGCCGTCGTATAATTCAATAAGTTGGTGTACAGTCGAAAATGTAGGTCTAAAGCCAGACTGGTAGGAATTTAGTAGATTGTCAATATTAAAATACTTGTAGATATGTTTAAAAACTCCTTTTCCAAGAAATTTACTTACAACACTTAACAATGATAATTTGTAACATCTGATCTGTCTTCTTTTTTGAAACGTGACTTAGCAATTGTTTGTTTCCATATCTTCTAGATTATACCCTCTGAAATCCTGGTCTAACAATAGCCCCATATACATAGAAGACTATGTAGTAGTAGTACTAGCAGTACATGGTTTCTCTTGCTAGAACCACTGATACTAGTTGTTATTTGTCAAATAGCTATCACATTAAAGGTGGATAACTCTTAACATCATCTCATCAATATTGAATATTCTTTTCAAATGTTAATATACTGTTACACTAAAAAAGCAAATTGTCAGATTAAAGAGTGTGTTTGGGTAGATCAGCAGTATTTAGGGTTTACATATTTTTCTCCATCTCTCACTACTTTCAAACAAAATCTAAAACTAACAGATCCTATTATTCCAAATTCATTTCTACAGGGCAAAAGAAAGAACCAGATTATACATAGTAGATTGCGGCTTTCTTGTAGCGACCTAAATGGACATAAATTTTTACGACATATCTCCGAGGATCCATCATGCAGCTGTGGTCATCGCTTTGAAGATTCTGAACATTTTCTCCGCTGGTGCCCACTGTATTCAGATGCACGGAAAAACACTATAAATCTTTTACCATCTTACCAGCAAACCATTAAACCACTTCTTTTTGGCATAAAAAATCAATCTACATCAAATAACATCTTTAAATTAGTTCATGAATACTTCGATGTCACCAGACGATTCAATATCTGATTTACTCAGAACAATTTAAATTCAAGTTTTAAAATAGCACTTTCTCTTTTTTTCACTCAAATCTGTTCATTATATGTTTTATATTCTTTTATGCGGAGAGAGGTGATATAGGCTATGCCTGTTCCCTGATCCCTTTTCATAAATTTGAAATAAAATATTGTTTACAAAAAAAAATGCTGTTTGTATATAAACCATATTTAAGAACAGAGGGTTGGGTGGAAAATGGTTTAAAGCGCATACGCAATAGATCACACGGTCTGTCCTTGAGTCAAGTGGCGTGATGAGTATGGCCGCCTGTCCAACCCCCGGGTCCTTTGGTTTCCTACGACAGCTAAAGATTAGACCATATTATGTTAGTTCCGAAATGACTAGTGGACGTTAAACTCTCTCTCTCTCTCTCTCTCTCTCTCTCTCTCCTTTCAGAACTTTACAGAACTAAAGGTGTGGTAGGATGACCGAGTGGCCAAACACTTGGGCTGTAGATCGTCAGGTATGTTTTCTGTGAAATTTGAGGCTCAGTCTTGACGAGAAGGGTCGCTTGCTTTATCTCCGAATACTCCGTGTTCGGCCCAGAATGTTAGTATCGAAATGACACGATAAAGTTACCGGGTACCCTGATGTCCACCCACTTCTTAAGACTTATGTATACTGTTGGCCTCAGACTCACAAAATATCACAACACCTGGGTGGGGGGGGGCAATTGGTTAACACAGAAAATGGGATTTAATCTAACTAATCCTATCATGATGACGCCCACTTGAGATAGAGTAAGTTCTATTAAATGTTTATGTTCTTTAATACAGGGAGACACGAAGACTCAGTGCGCATGCCGTTGGTTAGCTAACCTGGAGGTCCCGTGTCCCCCCTTGTCAGTGTTGGCAAGGGACAACGTATAGTCTTTCAAATGGGACGAAAAAAAAACAGCTCCCGTGTATGTAAATAACACCTAAGCAATTGGAATTCGATATAAGAGTAGGCTGTACCGCCGCTGTCCGGGCAAACTTCCCCTCAGTCGGGGCAGAACAGTAGAATGTTAAACCCCATTTGATTTCATTTGTTACCACATCGTGGTTTGAAATCAGTTAGATATCGACCATCTATAAAAGGGAAACGGAGGTTATATACAATTATCTGTCACATCTTTTATCAATTGACTTTATATTTAGGTAATCAAATTGTTGGTTTACACAATGAGATAGCGAGCACAACCTTTAGAGCCTATGCTTCATAGAAGTGATGGCTTAAGCACGTAGCAGAGCTTGAACACACTCGGCAAACCTCGGCGGATTCCGTTACTCTACATCTAGCCCCGGCTGTATGACGGTAAGTGATATGTACCTATGCCTATACAATTGCGATGCGGCACCGGTTTACTTATTAGGAAAACTTGCCGCTTTGAAAAATAAGTTATCAGAATTGTGTCGTTCGAAGCGTGTTTAGAATTTTCAGTGCAAAGTTGTCCTTGTTTGAAGAAAATCGGATAAACTTGAAAGAAAAACAGCTTCAGACTATGAAATATTTGTATGATAATCATTCTTCAAAGGAGTCGTCATGGGCAACGCCGTTGGTAATCTGGGAACTTGAAAGTAGTTCCAATGGCGGACTTTGTTATACAGCCGAGGCTAGATGTAGGGTACTGGAATCTGCTGAGGTTTGCCGAGTGAGCTTTGAACAATGAACACTTCAATACTGGAGATGAGAACCTTATATATAAGGCTTTGCTGGAGATCAGTCACTCAATTGTTTTCATAGACGTACGGGCTCGGCGACAGTTAGGGGAGCAGAACCCGAAATGCCCGAAAGGCGAAGAAGCGGAGTTTTCCTTGAATGGACCACCCCCCCCCCCCCCCCCAAGAAAATTTTGGAATATTTGACGACTGCAAACACGTTTTCCTGCTATTTCAGCCCGTGGACAAAGCAACTTCAAAGTGGTCTAATATAGCCTAATTAAGGTGGCTGACTCGAATTCCAATCAATCGATTACAGTCCACGGAGACGGGAATACAGCAACTTCAATTTGGTCCAATATAGTCTGCCTGGCTGACCCGAATTCCAAACAACCAATCAATCGTCGCGGAGTATGGGGGCCTCACCCTCCCGGAGAAAATTTTGAAAATTTAACCACCGCAAATTCATTTTCTGTTATTCTAGCTCGTGTAAGCATCTCCAAAAGTATCCAATGGTTTTGTAACCGAACCGAAATCCCATTCTGAATTCCAAAAATCCAATCAGACTGTTGCAGCTACATTCACAAATAATAATCGATGCCCGAAAAATGTCGCACAAAGTAAGAGTGGCTCCAGACAAAATGTTTTAATCCATAGTCAACTCAGTACAAATTCGTGGTATTCAATTAAAAGAAAAGTAAAATTAGTGTTTTATTAGGGAGGGAAAACTATATAAAAATGCTCGAAAAAATTTCAGGTTTACAGACAGCGGCGCCGGTTTTCTTCGAGAGGCGAAGAAAGGGAGCTGAATTTGTATGGACCCCCCAAGAAAATTTGGAATATTTGACGGCCGCAAACGCGTTTTACTGCTATTCCAGCCCGTAGAATTAGTGTTTTATTAGATTTCGGGCACTTCATTTTGCCAAGTAAATGAAATTTTGGAATATTTGACGGCCGCAAACGCG